CACACACACACACACACACACACACACACACACACACACACACACACACACACACACACACATCGCTCTTTGTTAAGGACCTCAAGTCAACTCTGAATGGCAGAGGGATTGTGGAGGTGTAAACAAAAGAGAATCGGTGCATTGCTTGAAAACTGTGATCGTGTTTTGTTTTTATTTTTTGGTTGTTCTTATATGTTTGAACCTGTCCAAAGACTGTTTCTGTCTCTGAGTTAATTTGCTGARTGAGCCCTCTTACAGCAGCAGGACTGACTGCAGTTAAACCAAATGCGGTGAAACTAAAAAGGGGGGCCCTGCGTTTCAGTCTGGCTCTGTTCCAGCCTACCTCTCCACCGTGTCCGTCGAAGATCGCGAATATGGACGGGTGGCTTTTGTTGCTGATGTCGGTGAGCACCTCGAACCGGTCCTCCATGTGGTCTCTCCTGCCCTGGATGGAGTACACGGCCACGTTGTTGTTCTTGAACTCCCACGTCTTGGAGAACTCCGCATCCAGGACGCTGAGGCCTCCGAGGCGGTCGTTCTGCATCATCTCCGCCACTTTCCCCTTCACCATCTTCACGGCATCCCTGCTGGACTTGACGATGGTCTTCACCTCGTCGGTGTGGAAGAAGTAACTCCACAGCGCCAGACTGATGCAGAGCAGGAACAACGTCTCCGGCCTGAGGAGAAAATAACGCATGATCCGACCCAGAAGAGACAAGAGCGTCATTGTGTCTCCTATCATCACACGCAACCAAACTGCAGTCTTGACTCTCCTCCCTTTTTTCCCCCTTTCTCTCTTTTTTTCTTTTCTTTTTTTAAGCACACTTCACTCCATTCGCTTTGCGGGACAATGATGAATTTTAAAAATCGATGCAGTATGAAGATGAGGGGATGCAAATATTTAAAATGGTCCTCCCGGTGCTGCTTTTTCTACCTTGTCCGAGCGCATTTACGCACTGCTTCGTTTTGGGTGAGGAGCGCAGGGCAAGCACGGGCCACTGTGTTCGCGTCTCTGTCCCGATGCCTTGGTCCTATCCGCGGATCTCTGAACAGCTGCGGCAGGGTTGATCCGGGGGCTGAGCCGAGCTTCCACAGCCCATCSTAGAATGAGCGGTCCTCAGGGTCAGGAGGCACATAGGAGTCACCGGGGTGGAGGGGAGCCGCTGCGACTTTGCGCTGTCCTCCTTCACCGCTGCTGACCCCTTTTCTTCAGTGTGTCTATTTAGCCTCCGCATCAATATCATATTTTTCCACACACGCACACACACGCGCTTTCATTGTTCATGTGTCAAAACCTCTAGGAGACAATGAGGGCAGGATCGGAAGTAAGACATGTTGGACCTAATAAAGCARAACAGCAAAGGCGAAAGATGCTCTATTTTTATGGTCATGCTTTTATTTTGAAAGTCATTAGTGGAAGTGTGTTGTTTGGTGTGTAGCTTGACCATGGCTCTATTGTGTAGGTGCTGACAAGAGTGCGCAGCTGCGAACTCCAAACCAATGGCTGCGACTGCGGAATTAAATCATGACGTCATCCAGCAGTTTAGTGAAATGGGAACACATCAACAATATAATAT